AATTTTTTGACGCTGCCATGAAATTAGAAGTGATAACGTAATGCTGAAAATTCAGGGTAAGCTTTCAGTATTGATCTTTTTGTTGTTTGAACTACATTTTCGAAAAATTTCAGCTACTAATATAGTAAGTTGAGGTGGTATACAAAGAAAAGTTATTTAAATTACAAAATCAGAATAACAAGTAGGTTGAATAATAAGTAGGTTGAATCAGGCGAAAAGGTTGATTTCAGGCTCTCCAATTTCCAAGTCCTTTAAGGTACCATTCCACATTTTCTTAAGAACCTTTAAACTTGTTGGCAATGGACCGTGATGTTGGTGTTGCATTTATTTTTAGCAGTTGTTCTTGGATAAAAGCTGAAACTTTAATATTGAAAATTTTGTTACTAGATTGAGTTCTAGAAGTCTGTCATATGATCTCATGCTTTCTCAAAGTTTTTGTTTCATGTGTTCATATTAGTTAGATATAATTGATAATGTTAAAAATATTTTTCATCTGATCAATCCAGAAAAAAATGAACATAAGAAATCTAGAAAATAAGTAATAATGTTGACGCTAGAAAAATTTTGAGAAATGAGAGAGTAATAAAATGTCCGGGTAATGGAAGAATCCTACAAGACTATTAATTTAACGCAGAAACGAACTCTTTTCTTTAATCTTGAGTTTGTTGCTCAAGAGTAGCTACTAACTCCTAAACTTTTTTATATCATATGTGAAATAGGAGTAGTAATTTGAGTATGCAATATAATAATATTGTCTTAAGAGTGCTGTCATATGCTTCTTATAGAGTAATATTGTCTTCATGTTTTCTCTTTTATTTGTAGCATAATACTCTTTCATCAGAATTTTGTGGCATGGTCATTAATGGGTTCCTTGTGTTTTGCTTATTGCATTTGAAGGTTTGGCAATGAAATAGATGAAAAAATGGAGGTTTTGCTTGGTCCAACTATGAGCTCTAAAATGTCTGTGATTATCTTTCGCAAACATTTTTAGCTAATTTATTCTCACATTCAGTTTTTTAAATATTTTACTCTTTCCGTGTCCCTCAATAGAAGTAAAACAAACATTTATTTTGTATTTCACGAGAGACAATTTTGTATATGAGATGTAGGTGAGACGAAGAGAAGCTGACATTTTTAATATGTGCTCTTTCTACGTCCCCAGATTAAGAAGCATAAAGATAGGTAGAGCATGAGCTCTTGAAGATTAAGTTGTTGTATTAGATGTTAAATGTAATAAAAGGATTTTCTTATTGGTTTATACAACATCAAGGTAATATTATGTTATTCAAACTTAAGGTCTGATTTGATTGTGAACTCTGGGCGGCCCAAAGTAAGAAATGAACTTTTTGTTTTAGAACTACCCAACTTCCATATTTGAATGTGCAGCAGTCATTAAATTAATATCGGAGTGCTTATAACTTTAAGGTGGAATAGAACTACAAAAAGTTGGGGTTGATGTTCATAAAAAAAACAAATGGTAAAGCTTGCCAATTGTAAATCAAATATGTACAAAGGGTTGAACTGGTCGGTACTGAGAGGTGCAGCCTTTGGTATTTTTATACATATGTTTAGAAAACACTTGCCTAAATTTCAAGTTTGCAAAAATAGGAGGATTGACAGTAATCTCAATTTCAACTGAATTTTAGTTAGCATTATTTTTGCACGTATTGTAACAATATTATACCAATGTTGTACAGAGAATCCTTAATTATAATTTACTCATTTTAATAACATGTTGGGCCCGTGCGATGCACGGGTGTCATCCTTCTAGTAATCTATATATATTTGAGTTGAGAGAAATATAATAAATGAAGAAGATCAATTCAAAAAGAATATTGTGGTTAACAATAATGAATAAAAGAAGATCAGTTTGTTATTCGTATCCTTATCCTTTCTATTTTCCTTTTACCTACATTTATTTTCTTCTCTTTTTTTCATTTATCTTCTTTTCTTTGTTTATTTCTTTAATTCTCTTTTATTTGTTTGTTAAATTGAAAAAGATATTTTTTAATAAATGTTAGTAAGTATAAATAAATAAACTGCAAACAGATATAGGTCAACTTTCATTTATATTATATATAGCGAGATAGTATTATTATCTACATTTATATGTAAATTAAATGTAGTTAAATATATTTATAACAACTGAAATAAATTTGTGAAATAGTAAGAGTTTGTTTAGAATTCTATAATCATGAGTTTCTAGTTTTAATTAAGTTAATAATTATTTTTCTTCTAAAAATATAATATCTTCAAATTCAAATACTTCTTATCCTTCAATTCAAAATTTTCATTGTAGTTTCATTCATCTGCATATTAAAAAAATAAGATTAAAAAATTTCATGCGATAAATAAAGAATCATAAATTATATGTAAATACATCCAACACAGTTTGATTTTGAAACAAAACATAAGAAGAAAAAAATTAAAATATATTACATGTTTGGCATAATTATCAGATATTAGTCTTAAAAGTGTTCCTCCCTCTTCAACTACATATATTCATCACAGAAATGGCTTGATCCTAACTTCATCAACAGATAATCTTCAACATCTAGAACTTCCAAAATAAAGGACAATTATTGATAATGTATACCACATAAACAGAAGAAAAAGAGATGAAATATGCTAAAAAAAATTACCTTTCCAATGAATGGTAAGGATTATTGTTGCTTTGAATTTCCTTTATAGAGATGCATTTTTTTCCATGGAAAAACTAAAGAAAAGACTGTCTATTTAAATTTACTAAATTAATACGGTTGAGTTTTTTTGGGGGTAGGAAGTTAAGTAAGCGGGTGAGGAATTTTAGGGATAATTATTTGTAGTTGAAGTTTCTTTTATTTTATTTTTTTAAAAATATTTTTTTAGAAAAGAACAAATAATTAGATAGCTTTAGAAAAAAATTGTGTAGCCATGGATGTGTATCAGACAGTTTTGATATAATAATTTCTTATATTTTTTTGTTTGTATAATAATAGTTACTTTACAATCTTTTATATTGCTTAAATATGCTTCAAAGTTATTTAAAGGTTAAGTTCCAAAATGTTTTTTTAAAATGGTTTTATATTGTTATTTATTTTTAAATTTGAATTTAAACATTAAGTTCCAAAACAGTTTTTTTTTTTTTTAAAAAAAGTTGTTTCATATTGTTATTTGTTTTTAAAATTGAATTTAAACATTAAGTTCCAAAACAGTTTTTTTTTATAGAAAAAGTGGTTTCATATTGTTATTTGTTTTTAAAATTGAATTTAAACGTGTTTTTTCAAAATAGTTTTATATTGTTATTTATTTTAAAAATTGAATTTAAAGATAATGTTCCAAAACTGTTTTTTTTTTAATAAAAAAAACTGTTTCATATTGTTATTTGTTTTTAAAATTGAATTTAAACGTTAAGTTTAAAAACTGTTTTATATTGTTGTTTGTTTTAAAATTGAATTTATTATTTAAATTAACTAAAAATATCAATTTTAAAACTAAAATTCAAGAATAATTGTGGTACTGGCATGTGGTGTTTTTCCTCTCCTATTATATATAGATAGATATTCACGTGAATTAGTGATTGATAACATTTCATGGCTAAACTATATATAAAACATTCTTTGTTCATTTCATTTAGCTACGGATTAGGGATAGATTGATTAAAATTACCACAAATTCCATAGCTAATTCCATAATAGTTAAACAATAAAAATTTCATATTAATCTCATTTAGCTATAGATTAGTGATGAATCAACTGAAAATTGCCGATAAATTCCATAGCAAAATTCCATATTTTCTGATAGTGAATTTTCATCTAACTAGGGATCATTAGTGAAATCTTAAGAACATTGGAATGACAATTAGTTAATTAATTTCCACTATTATTCAAATTTTATAAAATGTAAGGGAGAAAAGTTACGAGAATTTATCTAGTGCAGAAGGAGAAACAAAATATCAATCTCCGATCCATACATTTTGATGAAGTTGGAATAAAGATAAGATTAGTGCATAAACATATAGTATCAAAATTATATATAAGATCATAAATCGACTGACTTGAAGTACCTATATACTATTGAAAAATTAAAATGATGGTATTATATATCACATGAACTCATGTCATAAAAAGTAGAGAGTCGATATATTATTAATCATTAGACTTCATATTGATAGTATAACATTAATACATCGATCCTCTTATAAAATTTGAGCTTCTACTGCTTGGATGATGAGTATCAGAATCTAAAGATAAGTAAATCAAGAATTGGAGTATTTTTTTTTCTTAAGAATGGAAGGATTATATTTAGTTATTAGCAAGGTTTATCTATACAAAAGTGAAGCTAGTCTATGAGATATAGTTCTATTCACATCTCTTTCGAGAGCATTTGTTAAAAGAGAAGGAGATGTTGCAAAAACATAAGGCTGATTTCAGTTCATATGTGGATCCTTCGTTGTCCTTCCGTATTTAGCTAATAAGTTTGCTACTATATTATTCTCCCTCGGGATGGGCTTCAGATATGATCCTTACAGCTGTAGGATTAGCGACCTGTAGATATTGGTGTGTATGAAGAAGAAGGAATTAAACAATTCATGAAAGTGATAGTACCAGTCACTCGTGAGAAGAATTAGGTTTCTGTATGATGAATTGTAAGCAATAACGTAGAGAACACAATATTTTTCATGGAAAACTTCCTTGCTCAAGGGAATAAAAACCACGACCTACATTGCATAGGAATTCAACAATCAAATTTCACTAAATTCAAGAGCGATTTCAGATTACAAAGGATTATCTAAAGGAAAGTCTCCAAGAAGATTAATTTTCTTCTTGTCACGAACCTCACAACTTCAATTACTCGATCATTTCAATTTAGGATTTATTATAATTCAATAACAACCCTAGAACAATATCAATTACATCAGAAGAAAACACACTTCACTTCGTTATAGTGTTGAACTTGACTCTTCAATATCTTTGTCTATCATTAAAACTTCATACTTTTGAATTTTTGCATTTCGTCAATTCAAATTACCAAACTTGAATACTGCAGGTTCAAATCATCTCCTTTTTGTTTCCTCTGAGATAAGGAAAAAAGGCGCAACCCCTGTAAAAAAATAAAAATAAATTAAAACATCATTTAAATGAATACAAGTGCAACATTTGAAGTAGTAACAAAATTACTTGAATCTGCAGAAATGGAATGTTGGTTTGATTCCTTGAACAACAAAACGTCCATCTTCATTTATGTCGCAGATGACTTTCGCATATTTTACTAAGTGAATTGGAAGAAAGTAATATCCTGTATAAACACCATCAATATAAATCATTAACAACGTAGATGATACAAATTCGATATCATCATCATCATTATCATTGAGAATCGTAGCGTCTCCATGTATGATATTCTTGGAATTCAATTCCTTCCATCCACCATTTGCTTCAATTCTAATTATGCTTTGAAATTTGTCAGGTCGAGCCGGAGGAACCCAAACTCTAATTTCAATATCATGGTTGCACCTGTTTTCTATAACAGTGAGTACTTTAGCTCCCATTAATTTGCGTGATCAGTGCTCGTGTGCAGTGTATGTATTTAGTGCTTGTGTAATGCATGGAAGTGAATTATGGAGAGTGAAAACTTTTGTTATAATATATAGGGGTGTAATTTGTAAAATTGACTTAAATATTTGATATAAACTCTAAGAAGGGAGAACTATTCCCTCGTCCCTTTTTACTTATCAAATTTTGACTTGACACATCTATTAATAAAATATTGATTGTTATAGTCAGAGGCGGAGCTAGGTGGGATTCATGTGTTCGGATGAACCCAGTAGCTTTTCCGTAGACCCTCTATTTGTACTAGAAAATTAATTAAATATATATGTATATTAATTTGTAAACTCCTAACAAAATTGATTGTTGGTTATTACCGAAATTTAGAACTCAAACTCTTAATCTTGACTTTGCCTCTAGCTATAGTAATAAATTGAGAGTATAATATGTAAAAAAAATTATATTTTCTTGATTTGTAAGAAGTAACGAGTAAAAAGAAAAAAATTGAACGAGTAAAAAAGAAACGAGGGAGTTTAAGGTATGTGTTTACAAAAACACATATTAAATAAAAGGTCAAATATCTACTTTAAATTTTATCAAAAGATCATGTCAAATTAATCATAATGAAAATGAAATTTCAAGATAACGTTTAGGAAACATCCAAGCAAGTTAAGCAGTGATTTATCTTACAAAACTAATCATTAGTTTTGCACTTTTTTTCATTCTTGTTGGTGAAGCAGCTACTCAGCATATTTATAAGGCAAAGAAAAGACAGAGTAAGTTGAAAATTTTGCTCTTGCATATCTTTAATTTGCTTTTATACTTTTTGTACGTACAACAGTACTCACTTTAACTAATTTGATGCTTTAATTTCCTTCACTAATTCCTTGGTCAACAAGCAACAAATATGGAAAAATTAAAGCTTGATCATAGGGGTGGCAATTTCAATCCATTTTAACTCAATCCATCCAAATTTGATCCAAACCACCCATTTGCCACCCCTAAGCTTGAACAAGAAAAGAGAACGAGAAAGGATTCTCTTAAAGTTGAGGAAATTACAACGACATCACATGAGATTCATCAAGTAAGGATACATCATATGGTTATTAAGCATATATACTATATTAACGTAAAATAACAACCTTTATATTACTTGGGCATAGACTACTATAAAAAAATATTGCATTTAGCTACAAACTTCATCATAGGTCCGTCACTATTTTGCTTGTAGCTAACGAGAATCTATTTTTGGAGATAATTATAAGTTGTACTAGTACTCATAAGGGAGTCTCCTATTTTTCTTATCACAAGGCTAGAGCTTTTCCTTTCCGAACAACCTCTGATTATTATCACGCTATCAAAAATAGGATAACAACGGTGTTTAGACACCAAAATCTCATAAAACAGAAACGAATTACCAATTTCGGAGTCAAACCGGAATTGTGGAACCCATGCCGGAATCTCCGGAATTGACTCCGTATAGAGGTCCTAAACTATGCCCCGACCCTGTGTTTCAAAATTGAACACGATCCGAGGCTCAAAACAACCAACACAATTAAGCATGCAATTGTCACAATAAATAGGCCAAGACAGCCTAAAGGCACGCAAATTCGCCTCATAATTGTCACAATATTGATCATGATTTTATTTCTTAGGTAATTTCGGTGTAAGATACTGAAGGAGTTATACATAATAATAGAGGTGATTAGATACTAAGCTTCATACTATTACTTTGACAAAATTATTAGCTCTTATGCATGATAGCACTAATAAATTAAGATTACAAATTATAGGATAATAATTACTTCATGTCTCTAGAAACTCTACTGATCCAGTTGAAGTAATATAATAGGTCTATAATCCGTAAAGGCATATATAATACATAAATATAATCCTTAACTTTACTTCAACTGACAATCACGACTTTTAACTTTGGGTGTGCACAAGTAGGCCTTCAAACTTGTATAAAATTGAACAAATAGACATACGTGTCCTATGTGACATAATACATGTAGGATGTCACGCAGAACACAAAATTGTCATGTAGGGCGTGATGTAGGATGAATGTGTCTATTTGTTCAATTTTATACAAGTTTAAGTGTCTACTTGTGCACACCCAAAGTTAAAGATCAGTTGAAAATAGATAAATCGTTAGATCCCAGCTTCCAGTAACTAACAAGGATATAACACTAGATGCTTAAAACAAGGAAATATGACAAATTGCTTAGCCAAACTCGTCCTTACCCTTGAAAAAATAAGAGAAGTCTGAGAAGCAAAACACAAACTTCTCATTCAATCATCATCATTGAAACATCCCATAACTGTTCAACTAATCTGCCTGAGAAGACGCCTCAAGTCACTTGTAGAGTCGAGGCTATCTTTGCTTTTCTTCTTGAAGAAAGCCGGCACAGGCAAAGATCTCGGTGGCGGTGAGGAGGAGAAACCCCATCCAGCATAGAATTCAGCATCCTTGTGTGCTTAGGCACCATATCCAGCTCTGTACTGGACAACACCAAATCTTCACCCTTGTTTTCCTTTACAACCTTCAACACTTGACCGCGCTTAAGAATTTTTATAGTGGAAAAGTTAGCAGATCCATTGTTTTCCTTTACAACCTTCAATAATATGATCAAACCAACACAAAAGATGGAGGAAGTTGTAGAATATTATAATCAAACTAACTCAAGTTCATATTCCTTTAAATAATAACTCATGAGGATGTGTATGATGTGGGAGTTAATAGCAACATAATTAAATTTAGGGCTTTTAAGGTAAAATTACAATTTATCCCTTAAAAGTTTATAATTATAGAAAATCCCTCAAACGGATACAATAATGTAAGCGCTGATACATTAATCTGATGCGCGAGATACATTAATCGTTAAGTAAGATACATTACATTTTATACATGATACATTAATCTGATGCGCGAGATACACTAATCTGATGCGCAAAAATGAGGAATTTTAGAGATTTGTAAAACTTATAGGAAATAATGGTAATAAGTAAACTAAAAGGCGAAATTTCTATAATTTTTCCTTTAATTTAATATGATGCCCAATGAATTAGTTATTTAGTTAGTCGGTAATAAGTTACCAAATTGATTTTTAATTTTTTAATTACAAAATTAACGTGTCTATTTTATTAGTTATTTAGTTAGTCGGTAATAAGTTACCAAATTAATCAAGAGGTTTTTCCTATATTGATTCGGCTTAGGACTACTAATCCTAATTAGTTATAATTAAGCGGAATTTTTTTTGGTAACTTTGCAAAGAAATTTAGAAACTGTGTCTATTTTATTAGTTAGTCGGTAATAAGTTACCAAATTAAACAGGAGGTTTTTTCTATATAGATTAGATTTTTTTGGGAACTTTGCAAAGAAATTTAGAAACTGTGAGCATAGGACTAGGAAATTACGATGGCGGAAGAAGGAGAAATATATGATGATTCTCATGTAGACATTGATGCTAAGATTCAAAGTGTTTTGGGCGATTATATGAAAGATTTTGAAGGAACTGTTTCTGCTGAGAACTTGGGGCCAAAATATGGTGTTTATGGTTCGTTTATGCCGATTGATCAACTTGTAATTCAACCACACATATCTCAAAAACTCTCTTCTTCTTCTCACAAACCGATTAGGATTAGGATTAAGCTTCGTTCTGGTAATACTGCTGCCCCGAAGAGTAGTGATTTACACACTGCTTCTGATAAGACACACTGCCCGGAACTGACCACTTCTGGGGATGAGTCACCACTTGCTCCATTCATTATACAAGAAGATTGGATTCGATGTTCTACATGTCGGAAGCGGAGGCTTCTCCCGTATGGTACAAAACTATCTCAGAGTTGGGTATGCACTATGTTAGACTGGCTTCCTGGCATGAACTGTTGTGACATTAGTGAGGACGATACCACAAGTGCTCTACATGCCCTCTACCAATCTCTCATCCAAAGTAACTTTCAAAATCATGGTGCTAAAGGTACTTCAATTGATTTAAAAGCACATAACGGGAGGAAAGTTTCTGTAAAGAAAAGAAAATCGAGGGAACAAGACTATTTAGGTAATGAATTGGGTGAAAGTGATGCCAATGCTTTTAAACAGAAGAAGTCGAAGGTGATTCAGACTGAAAAAAAGAAGTCCAGTAGAAGCAAGGGTGAAGGGAAATCGACAAGGAGAGATAGAGGAATCAAGGATTCTGCTCCTATAGAGAGAGAACAGCAGGTAAACAAGTATGGAGTAAAGCAACAGTCTGAAGCAGAATGTGGCATGATGCGCAAACCAGTTTACAAGAAGGCCATTGGATATGGGAAGGTTGCGAGGGCCTACATTGCATTTTGGTGAAGAGGCATGTTGTTACTAACAAGAGATGTATACTGTTTTAATATTTCAAGTACAAGAAACAGAATTTTCTTAAGATTCAATTTTGAGTATTAGGTTCCTTCTGTTGGGAACACTGAACTATAGTGGAATTACTGTATTAGCAGTCATTAGTTCATTTTTCTTGTTTTCTGTTAAATTTGTTTATATGTTGAAAGTATATGAAAATAAGCAACTAATGATTCTGCTTCACAAGTTTACTTTATGTACTTTGAAGATTACTTAAGGCTTCTAATCCCAATTGCATATATTAATTAAATATCCAAGTTCTAAGTCTTCCAAAGCTAGTTATCTAACTCTATTTTGGTGTTAAGGGTTGGATCTCGAGCACAAATTCCTTTGTAATAATCTGACAAAAAGTTTTGGAGCTTCATTAAAATAGATCTTGAGGAGTATAAAATGATTTTGATGGTTATTTGGTTAATGTGAGGGATGGATCTTATTTTGTTACTCTTTTTCGATGCTAACTTTTTACTTCCCCTGCTTAAAGAAATCAGTATTATGTATCTATCTTGTTACACCTTGGTTTGTGTGGATATTGGTTTTGAGTTTAGAATTGTTCCGTTTCATTAGTGAATCTGAGTTGTAAGGAGAAGTGAAATAACAAATTCAGTCGTCGCATGGGCATCAATTGTTCTTTTCCAGGTTATGCAGTTAAAGTTGTATTGTAGTTTCATGAATACTTCTAGAACAAAACACTTGTAGTTGAAACTGTCAACCAGACTGAGTCTAACTGCTATCCATGATTTGCACCTAGTAGCGGCAAACCCAAATTCAGTGAGTATAACCAAAACAGTATCCGAGTATTGCAATATACGTAATTAGGAATAGCTTGTTTTGTTCCTATTATCAAATGATTCAATATTTTCACCCATTGATTGGAGGTATATATGTTGCAGAAATTCTGTTGTGGAGTGGTTACAGTTGTCATTGATAATTCTAATCACAGATTAGCTTATGTTGAAACTTGTTTTGTCTTGAAGCACACAATCTAAACTACTTGTTTGTGGATCACTGGAATCCGTTTTTCTGTAAGTTGATCTTACTGTATTGTTCCCTTTTACTGGCTCAAGAACCTTCATTCAGACCCTCCCTTTTCATTCATGTTCATCCTATTTCGATTTGTTTGCATCGGATCCAATTTTATAACCTGTTACATTTTATTGAAAACTGAGGGTTGAAACATTGTGACTATTAAAGCATCATTACAATGTCAAATATGTATATGCACTGATAGCATTAGCATGTTAGTTACATGAAGACAGAGTAAATGGAGCAGTGTATCCTTTGAGATTTACAAGTGCTCATCAGATTTCAGGCTATACTATTAGCATCTTATTCTGTGTAGCGTCTAAATTTGACATTGACGTGGTAATTATGATATAGAGTTATTTTCTCTGGTGTTTTAGGGGGTCCTAAGTTATTTCCAGAATAATTTCTCTGAGGTTTCAAGAAACAGATAAGTAGAGCATTATAGAGTACAAATAATGCAATAAGGTGTAAAAGATATATGGTGGACTGCAAACAACACTATTTTCTCAACATGTGCTAAAGTAAGGCAAAAATCTTAGACAAATTCAACAACTTCCAATAGAAATCATCACATCTAGATGCCAAAATTAGTTGTTAGTTATTTAGTTAACAGCTAATTAGTGGATTTGGCTCCCCTGCGATCCATTACACTTTCTCTCCATTCCGTCAAGTACACGTTCAAATGAGTGATATTCGTCTTATTTAAAATTTAAAAGTCAAAATTATATTATATTAACAAATATCATAACCATAGTTAAGTCAAACAATTTTAGAAAACTACCTTCCAAAGTTGGTAAGAACAAAAAATTTTCTACAAATATTTATTAATATCTTTTTTAAAAATAATAAAAATTGAGGTAGAGGAGGGGATTACAAATATGGGAAATCAAAGTCTCACCATCAAGTGATGGTGGGAGTACAAATAGCCAACCAAGCTACTAAGATTCTCCATATTCATTAATATCTTTTTTCTTTTCTTTTTTAATCCAAAAGATTGAGGCTTAAAGCCTCATTTATTTCCATTTTAAAATCTGTACACAATCAGGCCCAAAAATTAGCCCAATGTTGGAACTAAACAGAGCAAAAAGAACAGTCAAAATCTAAAGAGACAAAACAATATCTTAGATAGCAGCAGACAGCAGTACTTTCCTAAATGAACCATGGAGGAAGATGAAGAGGCGTAGAGGCATCGGCGATGCTGTTGGGTCGGCGTCAGTTAATCTAATTCCTCCAAAAATCTCTGCTACTAATTTCATCTCATATTTTTTTATTTGAATATTAAAAATTATAGAACATAAAACGTTTATATTTAATATGATAATTAATAATCTTCAAAAACATTTTGCCTTTAAAACAATGCTTTCTTTTATTTATTTATTTTTTTTAAAAAAGGAAGATAAAAGAATATTTTTTAAAAACATATTTCATTTTCCCCCCCCTTCAAACAGAATAGCCACATTTTCTCCTTGGAATAATTTTGGTATTTCACGTTTAATTCTAATAATCTCTCGTCCTTTTATTTTCCTGCTCTTTTATTTTATGGTTTTTGTTAACATTGATAATTCTTCATCTTTGTTTTTTGTTTCTCAACATATAATATTTAAAGAACAAAGTTTACTAGCACAAAAAAATATTTTGTTGATTCTCACCTTAAATATCATATAATTTAATATTTGAATATAAAAAATATAAGATAAAAATAATAATATTAATGAATATTAATATTTGTACGTAATATCTTATTCTTACCAAATTTGAAGAGTTGTTTTCTAAAATTGATTGACTTAATTATAATTATGATACTTGTTTCTCATCTAGATAAGCACTTGACAAAATAAAGAGAAGGAATAATGGAGAGAAGCCGAATCCCACATATATTCTGGACGTCCCAAAGTATTACCTCTTCAAAATTTAATGTCCCCTATTATTCATGGAAGGATGTGATACAATCATTTGTTCATTTTCTGTAAAATTAATTTAACAAAACACACATTTAATTAAAAAAAAATTAAAAGTGTGTCCAAGTCAACGAAAATTAAATTAATATAAAAAGCAGAAATACTTGGAATTTTCACTTGTGTAAAAGTCAACAACGATTCAAACCTCATTCTATTACTACGTACAGATGTGTTTAAAAAAACACTTGATCTCATGTCAAAGTAACCCAAAAAAAGGAAGATATTATTTATTCAAATACCAATTTGACTAATTTCTAAAACAACAACGCTTACAAAAATGATATTATATAACAAAACAAACATATTCAATCTCATTATGCAGTATTAAAAAATAACAGGATAAAAAAAAGTGTGTTATTTGGTCTTAGAGCAGTCAACATGTGGACTAATGTTGAAAGGAACATTAGCATTACATATTCCAGGGAGTTTAGCAGCACGGCTGACTGGAACAACGGTAGAGCTAGAAACAACGCTCTTTATGCATTTGCAAGCACTCTGGCGGTCAGCTATTGTACGTGCACTGTTGAGAGATTTAATTCCACTACAACACTCTGATGGCACACTTAATCCACCACCTAAGACGTAACCAAGACATGGTTCAAGGGTTGTATACACCGTGTTGCACGTAAGAGTTGCATCCTGAGAAGTCGTGGCCGTAATTGTGGCCATGACCACCGCGATGCGAATCAGAAGAATAGGAAATAGTTGCTTATTTAGCATTATTGTGGAAATGGCCATCGATTTGTAATTTCCTTATCAATCAATGTATGTGTATATATATCAAGACATAAAAGATGTGATAATTGACAAGTTAAGTTAGGCCATATATATCAAGACACCAAAGGTTTTTGGCCCACATGTGAAGTACGTCAGACATGTGAAGTACGACACTAGTTGATATACTAGTAGGTTTCATATTAGACTGTTCGATTTCATAATTAAATCATTCTTTTTAACAATAAAATAGTAAAAGATGGTAAATATAAAAATCTGAAATTAATATATCTATATATATTGGTTTCACATCTGGCGTCCGGACCTACATCGGAGTCCGAGTGAATCTGGATTCACGCTGGAAAGTCTCACATTAAAGGTAAATGCATGTGCTCCCTAACAAAGACGATAATGTATCTAGGGGGACTCAAACAGGTAAACCTTTGATTAAAAATGAAGGAACATTTATCAATCCACCACAATCCTTATTGGTAAATTGAGAATTTATTTATTATCGACTATGTACTCCTTCAGCCCTATGCATATCCAAAAAATGCTACAAAACAAAGTTCAGTCACTTTTAAAAATTATTAGTCGAGTGATTGTATAATAAATTAACACATAAAAATGCTCGGCACTTGTGGAAAAAGGAAAATTTGTTCTTCTTTCTTGGAAGAAAGATATGATTTTTGCTAAAAAGATCACATAGACGTTAAAAGCATAAAGTTTGGTCAATGGGAGTGACATTTATGGCTAGGAGCACATGTATCTTTTACGGAATATTTAACGAATTTGATGAAAAACGTTTTTGTCTAAAATTATTTTTGATGGATAATTATAGATTGAACCTACACAATTTTTACATATAGTATGATGGTTGATCATTCGTGGCTAATTGAAGGTATGGTCTTTTTATTTTGGATTAATATCAACAGTATAGTTTATCCAACAATAAATTTTATTCCACTTAGGAAAAAATCTAAGGATATATTGTTTAATACGTTAATTTACATAATATTATTTTAGTCTTTTTATTTACCACATTAGCATTTTAATTACAAGTATGACAATTTATTATAAAATAAATATCTACACGATTTATGTCCTATTTTATTGGTTAGTGGACTGAATTTTTGGGAATCATATTTTATCTTTTATTTTGTTTAATTTTTAGAATCTCAATCATAATTATATTTGGATATGTTCATTTAATAGATATCTCACTTTCTCTTTCTTGTTAAACTTACACGGGCGTTTATATATATATATATATATATATAGACTTAGAAGCGTTCAATCATAATATAGCATATAGCATATGGTGTAGCTTTGCGCCACTACCTTTTTATTTTATCTTGTAACGTGAATTAAGTTAATACACATAATTTCTTAAAAACATTTTGCTTTGTATTTGAACTTTTGTACGTTTTTTACCTTCATTCAACGCTTTTACTCTTCTTCTTTTTTTGGATGTTATATTTATTTTCATTTTTTTTTTGTCTTTTCTTTTGCTTTGATTTTAAATTTAAATCTAAATGTCTCATATTTAAAATAAGTTAATTTCAGACACACACACACTTTTTGACCAAAGAGATAAAGTGTTGAGAGATAAGATTCTCTTTTGTCTCTTTCTTCATGACGTAAGTGCTTACGTCTTTTGTTTTGTCTTTGTCTGACTGTCAGGAATGTACAAGAATAACAAGAATTGCTGAAGCAGAAATTCAACAAGCACAAATTCCAGAAGAATATGAAATTCGTTTTGAAAAAACACAAGAAATAGGAAGTTGCAGTAACAATCCGAGACTTTCATTAGAATATGAAAGAAATTCAATAAAGAAAAGTATATCCCACATATATTCTAAAAAGATTCTTGAAATCTCTAACATTACGAGAATTGCAGGAAGAATCTTTAACGGAACTGAATGGAAAAAACAAGAAATTTTGTTACAAATAGGTGCCACGGCAAACCATGTCAAAGGTATTGTATTAGATGGATTACCAATCTACGAAGGTACCCCTTATACTTATAAGACCTTTGAAGGAAATAACTTTAGCTGTACAAATATGTTAGATTTACCAATACAGTTGGATACAATAAGAATAACAGTCCCTTGTTATATTACAAATCACGAAAGTGATCACAACCTAATTTTAGGAAATCTATTCCTTAATAGTCTAAATGACTACAACATAGGAAAAAATGGAATAGAAATGAGTTACAAAAATGAAACTTGTTTCTTACCAAAAATCTAAGTATGCCCAAAGAAACATCTTTTAGGGTATCAATCTTCATAGAAAGTTACTAACTTAACAACATGTTGTCAAATTGACAATGGATTAGAAGCTAATTTAGCAAAATCGTTTTTACTAAAAAATTGGGATACCAATAAATCTAACATATCAATGATTGGTATTATAGGTGTCAAAGAACGACTATCACAGTCAAAAGAAAAGGTAGAAATAATTTTGGGATAAAAAATTGTTCCTATAAATAAAATATTTGCCTATGATAAATTGGAGACTGACTTGTTGTTATGGAATGACTTTCTCCAACAATTTCAAGATTATCATCAGACATTATATATGATAAGTCTCAAAACTCCTTGCGGATATTTTATCAAAGTCCCAAGAAAACAAAATCCATATATTCTTGAAAAAGAAAATGAAAATTATAAGAGAGAATATTTAGAAAATCTAAAGAAAATCTCTTGTAAATGTCTTAATCTAGAACATATAAAGGAAAATCTACAAAAATCTTATGGAGAAAATCCCTTAGAAAAATGGGGAATTTTTTTTTCAAGAAAAGGCATTTTAATAGTTTGTATACCTCTCTTCTCTAAATTTCAAGAATAGTCTTAAGTGAAGATATAGATCTTCAACCTAAATGAGGAACAGTAGAAAAGTAGCCATAAGACTGAGGTCAGGAAAGCGAAAAATTGTTTATAGCCCGAAGGAGAACTGTTGCGGTAGTGATAAAAACTATTCAACGAAGGACAAGGAGTAAGGCATAAACACAAAACTCTATATTTCATAATTATTATCTTTAAGTTTATCGTATCCTTAGACTTAAAAATATTTAGTACCTATAGGGAATCAAAACATTATCATGATTATCCAAACAAAGGCAATACACCTCATTAATGCTTAAAGCATAATATGAAAAATATTCAATATCACTTACACTTAGTAAGAAAAAGAGCATGAAAATATCGCATAGCTCTATATAAACTAGACAAATCCATACAGAATTTGGAAAAGGCCTTTTTATCCATGATGCTAAAATTTGTAAAATTAATTATAGCAATCCATGAGATAAAAATGATAAGAATACAAGAATATTTTGAATACATAAATGCAAAACGCATATTAAAAAGGAATGACCTTTATACAGCATAAAGATGCTATTCAAAAAATTCTGCATACCATGTATCCGTGGATACATCATAGCTATATATATATATTTTATTTTTTTTATTTTTTTTTTAAAAGCAACTAAAAGTGAAAATATAAGAAACTATTTAAAGAGAAAAAAAATATAAAATTTAAAGTGAAGAGGGAAATAAATATTTTACAAAGAAAAAAATAAAAATAATTAAATATATATAAGTTTTAAAGGCAATAATTATGGGGTACTAACTAATTAAGATGACCAATTAAAAAAGGACATGTGTATATCAATTTATATATTAATTGTCTTGAGGATTTTAACGACACATTGCCTCTTTCTATTTGTTAATACTGCCTCAAAAAAGTTCTAATTAATGCCCCTCGAAACAGACATATTACAAAAACTAAAACGGATAGTTATCCCATTTTTGGGTGAACTGTGATAAACAAAGTTAACTTTCGTTAGCTCACCCCAAAACTCAAAAAAATATTATAAAATTTTTAAAGATAGTTTGCCCACCTACAATTTTATTAACTTAGTGAATAATTGTAGTTCGACCTTTTGTGGAAAGTTAATAAAAAGAAATGTACTTCGTCCATTTTTGGGTGAACTATATTTTTCTAAAATTTTTGTAATGTTTTTTTGAGTTTTGGAGTGAACTAACGGAAGTTAACTTTGTTTATCACAGTTCGCCCACAAATGGACAAAATGTCCATTTTAGTCTATTTTTAGGAAGGGTACATTTTTGTATGTAGTATCCAAAAAAATGTTTATTTTAGAGTCAGACTTTGCTAGGTACTATGTCAGTACAATATGCATGAAAATTAAAAAAAAAAAAAAAGTTCGGAAGAATAATGAGATCCTAGTTAAATTAAAGTGTGTCACTAAAATTTCGGTTATAATTTAAAGATACTTATACCTTATTCCAAAATAAAATAATAAGTATGAAAATGAATAATAACCTCAAAGTAAAGATAGCCTATTATACACATAAACCTATTATAAACCATGAAGAAAAAAGGATTAACAAGGACTCAAACCTCATTCTACTGCTACGGATATGTTTGCAAAAAACTCTTTTCATCTCAAAGTAACAAAAAGAAAAGGAAGAAATTATTTATTCAAATACCAATTTGACTAATTTCTAAAACAACAATGCTTACAAAATATGAAATATATATATATATATATATATATATATATATATATATATATATATATATTAGCCTTATGTAGAAATGACACTTAAAGAGGACCAACACTGCATCTTTTCATTGTACTAAAGGCAGTAGTAATTGTACATTTACAAAGGACCAACACTGCATCTTTGCATTGTACTAAAGGTAGTACTAATTGTACATCATAAACACACTTCCTCTAGAAGTTTCTTACTATATATCTCACAATTTTCTAACCCTAATTTCTCTCCTGCTTCCTAAACCCGCTGTATTCTCTCAACTCTTCCTTCTGCTTCTGACCTCTTCAATGGCGAATTTGTTCCTCCATCTCAATACATTTTTTTCCTGATTGAATGTTAAATTTTTCATCTGCTTTCTTCTTCTCTGGATTCAATTTCTCTGTTTTTAGAAGACTTTTTCCATGCCTTTGTATTGTTCCTAATCTAATTCTTTTGCAG